CATGGTAGGATTTGTAAAGAATTTATTCGTAAATCAGGGTGGAAAATAAGTATTTGGTCAATAACAAAAATACAACTCAATACTTTGTAACATAACCTTTGTTGGCAATAACAGAGGTCAAACGTTTACTATAGGTCTTTACCAGGTTTGCACACACAGTAGCTGGTATTTTGGCCCATTCCTCCATGCAGATCTTCTCGAGAGCAGTGATGTTTTGGGGCTGTCGCCGAGCAACACGGACTTTCAACTCCCGCCACAGATTTTCTATGGGGTTGAGGTCTGGAGACTGGCTAGGCCACTCCAGGACTTTCAAATGCTTCTTACGGAGCCACTCCTTTGTTGCCCGAGCGGTGTGTTTTGGATCATTGTCATGTTGGAAGACCCAGCCTCGTTTCATCTTCAAAGTTCTCACTGATGGAAGGAGGATTTGGCTCAAAATCTCACGATACATGGCCCCATTCATTCTGTCCTTAACACGGATCAGTCGTCCTGTCCCCTTGGCAGAAAAACAGCCCCATAGCATGATGTTTCCACCCCCATGCTTCACAGTAGGTATGGTGTTCTTGGGATGCAACTCAGTATTCTTCTTCCTCCAAACACGACGAGTTGAGTTTATACCAAAAAGTTCTACTTTGGTTTCATCTGACCACATGACATTCTCCCAATCCTCTGCTGTATCATCCATGTGCTCTCTGGCAAACTTCAGACGGGCCTGGACATGCACTGGCTTCAGCAGCGGAACACGTCTGGCACTGCGGGATGTGATTCCCTGCCGTTGTAGTGTGTTACTGATGGTGACCTTTGTTACTTTGGTCCCAGCTCTCTGCAGGTCATTCACCAGGTCCCCCCGTGTGGTTCTGGGATCTTTGCTCACCGTTCTCATGATCATTTTGACCCCACGGGATGAGATCTTGCGTGGAGCCCCAGATCGAGGGAGATTATCAGTGGTCTTGTATGTCTTCCATTTTCTGATGATTGCTCCCACAGTTGATTTTTTCACACCAAGCTGCTTGCCTATTGTAGATTCACTCTTCCCAGTCTGGTGCAGGTCTACAATACTTTTCCTGGTGTCCTTCGAAAGCTCTTTGGTCTTGGCCATGGCGGAGTTTGGAGTCTGACTGTTTGAGGCTGTGGACAGGTGTCTTTTATACAGATGATGAGTTCAAACAGGTGCCATTCATACAGGAAACGAGTGGGGGACAGAAAAGCTTCTTACAGGAGATGTTACAGGTCTGTGAGAGCCAGAGACTTTCCTTGTTTGAGGTGACCAAATACTTATTTTCCACCCTAATTTACGAATAAATTCTTTACAAATCCTACCATGTGAATTCATGGATTTTTTTTTCACATTCTGTCTCTCACAGTTGAAGTGTAGCTCTGGTGCAAATTACTGACCTCTGTCATCATTTTAAGTGGGGGAACTTGCACAATCGGTGGCTGACTAAATACTTTTTTGCCCCACTGTATTTCAGTGTCCGAAATTCACCACTCCTCCACCATAAATTTACTTAAGCAGAAGTATATCTTCAAAAGAAAATTCCCTCTTGCCAGCTTTAAACTCGGGTATGAAAGACTTCTTACATGTAACGAGTTAAAGTGCAGCTGAACACTCATTTGTCATGAATTGCCATATTTATTTACATGAACTGACCGCAGCCCTGGTTTCGATCAGAGGATCAGGCAGCTGTTTCAGTCGGCTGCTTTATATCTCTCAACCATCGTAATCAATGTATTCCTAATTTCCTCAGCTACTCCAGTAGTTGCAGACCAAGGAGACTGCAAAAGTGTGCTGATATACAATCCACGGCATTAAAGAAATTTAACACAGAACAGTCTTGAGAGAGCTTGAAGTTTCTGGATTTGCTTGTTTGTGAGTATTTGATGGTTTTAACTGAAACTTCATTTAATCTGTCATTTCAAGAGAGACTTGAGAACAATAACAATTACAAGAATGCAGCTAGCAGATGGAAATAACATAAATAAACAATACAAGAAATGGATAAAAACAGTTGCAGGAATCATAAAGCGTGCAACAATGACGCTTTGAGAACACCAAGGGGTGTAATTCATTTTAGGACAGCTTACAATTCATACCATTTCAAGTTTAAGGTAACTGAAAACAGTTTTTCCAATGTCAGCGGATATCTCAGGTTAAACAAGAAGACTGGTTTTGTAGTTGGAAAAAGACAGCAATCTTACAATTCGAGACAAGAGTCTTGTTTATTTAAAGGTGTTCAGTATAAGTCAGTCAAATTAAATCCCCAGGGACTTGTAAGGATCAGCAATTAAAGTTTTGGCTACAGAGTGAACAGAGTCACACAGTGGAGAATAATGTGTCTAAAGGGCACTTGTCATACTAACTGCCAGCTCCATGTTTTTAATTGTCAGGTTCTGCTGGAGTATCTTTGTGTGCTTAACAATTCCAAACAATCCTTATTTGTCACACTGGGCCTCTGTGCAGACACTCAGTTCGCCCACGGACTGAAACAGACCTTTTTAGCTCCATTTCACCTATCTTTAAATTTGACTGACTGCCTCTTGTAGACAGAAGGTTTGAAAAGCATGTGGGTGGGGCTTCTGTTCCCACAACCAGTGCTGTGAGCCTGAGATGGCCACATTAGGGATATCTACCTGAAGATGAGCATTTAGGGAAGTCTGAACCCCTGAGAGCTTTTGGCTCATTTGGGTTGCTTTGCACATATGATGAGATTATTATTGAAACTTTGTTCATGTTTAATGTGATCCATTTATTACTATAACAGATTAAATAATAATAAACGCAGACCAAGTCAGCTTTAAGGACTTTAGTTAATTTTCTTGTGTCTGTTTCTGTTTATTTGTGTGTTTTCTATGTTGCAGTGCACTGACCTCTTAGGGCCACTGTACAGACCACTGAATGCACCAGGGTTTACGGTGGGTTAGAAGAGTGTTATCCCTGTACTCTGGGATGACTTTGAGTCTATATGGGTTTAAGAAAGGGAAAGAGGATCATGAGACAGGCATGACATGTTCTGGACTCTTGGGGCTGACAAAGTGCAGGGTAAAGTACTGCTGCTTGCGAGCAACCCACTTCATGTTCGTCTCTTGAGTCTGGCAAATAATTCAGTGTTGAGCATTATTTATGCACACTGTTCCTTTATTCTGTTACAGCTAAATCAAAACATACCTCAGAGAGGATGATGTTTCCCTCTAATGAGCAGAGGTGGGTCGCTGCACTGGAGAACCAGAGATACTAAATTGCTACCATTCTTTTTCCTGCTCCCCAAAATGGCTTTCAAAATCCTCCGTGCACACACACACACACACACACACACACACACACACACACACACACACACACACACACACACACACACACACACACACACACACACACACACACACACCTGCAGAGACAATGCATGTGTCAGAATCCAGAAGTCAGCAGAGTGAAATTAAACAGAATGTGGATTTACAGAGGAGAAGTGAATTTGGTCAGTCGTATTGTAAACGTCTGAATAGTTATACTGAGATGTGTGTGTGTGTGTGTGTGTGTGTGTGTGTGTGTGTGTGTGTGTGTGTGTGTGTGTGTGTGTGTGTGTGTGTGTCCAGCCAGGCACAAGAGAACATTGTCTTTTCTTTCTTTTTGTAACTTTCCAGCTTTCATCTGTTTTATACACTTAATGCATGTAAAATGAGTTAAACATTTGCATATGTTGTTTTTTAGTATGTTACATTATTCATCTAATTAAAAATATTAAAGAAAAACTATACTGAACAGCACCAGATGGATCATTATCAGTTAATACAGAGAGATCAGTTAAGCTCCATTTGCAGTTTCTTAAATCACTTTAATTTGATCTTCTAAAGAGTTAGCTCACAGGAAACAGGAAGTGGTGTTCGTTTAAAAAAAAAAGACTTCAAAAAGTGTGAAGGTTCTACACTTTGTTGGAAAACCTAAACGTTCCCTTAAACATCATTAGTGCAATAAAGCACAATCATAAGGGTAACTTCAGTTCACACTCCTTGAATTTCTTATAAGTGTATTTAGCGTGTATTTTTTTCATTAGAGAATATTTTCCTTCTTGTAACCACTGGACCTTATAAATCATGTGTACCAGTGACAGCTCGAACAAAAAGGCTGTTTAGTGCCTCTCAGCCTGCAGGGAACTGAGAAGCTTTCTTTGGTTATTTAATTACCTCCACCAAGGAAGTTATGGGATTGGTTTGGTTTGGTTGCACTAAAAAAAAAAGGGATTTGCATGAACATTTTTTACCAAAGGTGCAGCCGATCTGGATCTGGATCCAGGAACTTTTGAAAGGACTCTTCACCATGGTGAAATTGGGTACAAAGATGCACAGATCTCGCAGTATCTTTACAATCACATGTCAGATTAAAAAGGAAAAAGCAACTGGTAGACTTTGATTTGATGTTCTCAAGAAAATATGACTTCTGGATCCAGGGAATCTGTTTACACGTGGCTTAGAGGGAATGCTGTCTTCTTTTAATTGTTGATTTTTGTTTATTAATTGCTATACTTTATTTATCTGGAAAAGCCCCAAATTGTACATAACAAATATAAAATGGGTCAATATATAAAACTATGCAACCAATATGCAAATTTTAAAAAAAGAACAACAAATACGTTCGTTTTTTAAGTTTATAGGATGCACTTTATAGTTCGATATAAACAGCTGTAGATATAAATTCAGTTGTCGTGAATTTTACGGCAGAGATTTGAATCACTGATCTCTTCTATTAAGCGTTTTAGTGATTGAAGTAAAGCAGGAAGCACAAATGCGGGGTCTCCATCTAAAAACTGAATACTCCTCAGATATTTCACTCACAGATAAAAAACAAACACACGAGGTAGACTCTGACCGCCCTCCGGACAGTTCCTGTAGTGCACGCACGATGGCGACACTTGGCTAATCAGAGCCATGTGGCTTCTGTGGGCACAACTTCTCCCGATGAAGTTTGCTGGAAGGATTGCGCTCAGTCGGAGAGGGAGAGAGAGACAGACTGAGAGGAGGCAAAGCGGAGCTGGGCTCGAGCGAAGAGGAAAGGCACAGAAGCCAGGACAGACGGAGACAGCTTTCTTCAAGAAGCACCAATTTGTTTTCATCCTAGGGAGAGTTTTGGTGGGCTTTGAAAAAACTGCTGAAACGACCTAGAACTGATCAAAACGCCGAGCTTAGAGTGGTTATTATTATTATTGTTGGGGTTATATTACTTTTTTTTTGTAGGGGGACGGACTCGAAATTGATTATTGTGTGTGGTGGATGTGAAAAGCGTGGAAAGGTTTAACACACAACCGAAGGAATGTATCTAAACCGGGCAGCGGCGAACCAGCGACTCTGGAGATGTCCACCATGCGCGCTCTGGATCGCCCTGCTCCTCCAAAGTGTCCTGGACCTGAGCGCGTCTGGTGAGTCTCCCAAAACTTTTTTTTCCTTAGCCTTCACTTCTAAAATCATCCATTTTCCTACTCTCCTCTGCTGACATTCAACTTTCTAATCTGTCAGCCTTGACGAAAAACTCCTGCAAGGGCTTCCAACATGTTCCCAACGCGCTCCGCTGCGGCGTTGCGCTTCTTTTATTTTAACGTGCTGTAAAGACGGTTCAAGCCATCCATCCCCATGTTTACATTTTGCTTGTATATTTTAGGCCGACTTTTTGTCTGTGGCTCCTGAAATCATCTGTTAAGTGACCCCATACTGCCGGCCATCGTTCAGCCTCTCTTCTCATGCAAATGATCTTTGGTTTTTTAGATTATCGTCCCATTGTCATTCTGAAGGCTCGGCACGGGGAAATACTCCACTCCAGTGGCGGACAATAGGGGGGCTCTTAACGAGTCAGCTGGATGCCCATTGTGCCCACTCTAACCACGCCCCTCAAAAATCTGAGCGTTAAAGATAAGGAATGTGTGAAGGCTTATTTAAAAGGCAAACAACCACTGCATGTAGTGTTAGGTTTGGTTGATGGCGGGAGGGGTTATCGCTGATGAAGGCAGTAAGATGGGGATGCATGCATGGGCTCCAGAAGCCTGTGGCCTCTTGGAAACAGGATTCGGTTTACGTATACGTGTATCCTTCAACACAGACATTTAAATAACTCTTTATTATAGTTTATTTGTGTGTCCGGACTCTCTCACTGCAGTTTGCACTGCACAGAGCCATGTGTGCCTGTGCAGTGCTGGCATCTTAAAGTTAAAGATGACCTGATAGCAAATGCGAGTGGCCTGTGGCTGATTCCCATAAGTGTGATTGAACTGAGTTTGAATTGAGTTTGAATTGTTTACGAAGCTGCTCCTGGAAGGCATTTTCCTCCTTTGTCCTGGCTTTTAAGTGTTTATAGTGTATGAAACAATCCTCCCCATCCAGACCAGTGGTGATGAATTGTCTCCGGAAAGTTTTTCGGGGTTTGCTTGGATTATCCCCGTCCTCCATAAATGCCTTTTCAACTGTTATTTACAGTGAAGGTGTGCAGCATTTCCTGTATTGGGCGTCAAGCATTTCACCAAGGCCTGTCTTTTTTCTCTCTTTCTCTTTCCTCTCTGTATCCTCAGTCCTCTCTTTTTTTTGCTCTGAGGCAGAGAGGAATGTTAATTCACATTACTTAAGTGGATGAGTTAGCTATAACTTATTCCTCAAATGGAGTTTAATGGTTGAATATGAAGTGGAGAGGAGCCAAACCCCCTGATCCTTTAGGTACTTCATATCTGGAAAGAGACAAGTGGAAATGACTGTGTTTCCCACCCACCCACATACGATCCAGAGGGAAAATACTCTGAAAATTAATTTTGAAATACTAATACTGTTTTCCATGAAGAAAACTCCCATGGCACCCTCTTCAACTAATATCATCTATAAACAAAAAAAGCTTCAGAATCCTTTTCTCCCAGAGATAATCGGCAGCTGCTGCTTCCAGTGACTTTCATTCTGATTTTCTCTCTCCATTTAAATGAATGTCACTTTATGATGAAACTTACTGGTATGCTGCACATTAATGACACTCATTTGCAAGCTTTTTTTTTTATCCCTTAATCACAGCAGCTCCAGGATATGTTTGTGGACAATGCTGTCTTTTTCGGCAGAGTCAGAGAGGAACAACAGTGCGGTTTCACTGTAATCAAATGTTAAGACAATAATTCCGGACAAAGTGATCAGGGGCTGTACTGTGGTTGCAACGGAGCAAACGGGACAAAGAGGAATCTTTAAAGTGTGGTCGTTGTTGTCTTTATTTGCCGCCGTCTGGTGCGCTGGGCAGGCTGTGTGCTTCCATTGAAGAGGTCGGAGGTCACAAGTCTGTCACTGTAGTTTAAATGCGAGCATTTCCAGGAAAGGTCAGGCGTTTCCCCGGCCGCAGGGAAGGATTTTGTTTTATATGGTGGACATGCAAAAGGGTGTGCCAATTAGTGGTTAAAAATCTGTGCACCCTTTCAGAAAACATTTTAAACCTAAGGAAATACTTTCTTCATTTGCAGGATTAGAAAATGTCAGTTAATGTACACCATTGGCTGATTGTAGGAAATTTGATGATTTTCCCCGTGCATTCCCTCTACTTGCCAAAAGCAGTTTAGGCATCACTATCAGCCCTCAGGGTGCTAAAACCAACAGATCGTGAGATTTTATTCTTATAGGCACTGCTTCACTTGTAAATCACAAATGTTACTGCCATGCATTTGTGCAGAGTGGGGGACAAAAAAAAAGGCCACCTAAAGTTTAACAGGGCTTTTTATTTTTTTGTCCAAACATGATTTTATTTTATTTTTTTATTTATTTTTGCTGTGCCAGCAGGGCTTTTTTTTGTTTGAATCACCTGAGTTTGAACCCAGGTGGAACCACGTGGAAATCAGATTTCAGCTAAAAGCAGCCATGCTAAAAAGTCCCACCTTTTTATTTAAACATGGAGATAAGCACTGCATGTTCATCTGTCGGCTCAGTGATAATCTTATGACAAATTCCTAAAACCAAATGGACAAAAAATGTTTTAAATCCATGTAAACTGTGTAAATGTTCCTGAATGTGGGACATTCACCTCTGGGCATGAAAAGGTCCAGTGCAGGGCAGGGACTATGGGAAATGTGCTTAGAATTGCATTTAGCCGTTTAAAAACACTTGGGAAGGCTATAAATCATGCCGGGTGGAACTGACGCGGTACAGTTTTCAGTGGGACACACTGTTGACAATAAAGGCACTTCACCCCTGGAAAATCCAATTGGTCTTACAGGCTGAGTGTGTAGGAGCTTGTCCTGGTGCGTCTGCCACTGACATGCCTATCTGGACTGTTTTATGTCTCCTGGTGTTTTCTTAGACTCTTATTTGGGGGAACAGACCACATGAAGTGAAAAAGAAAGCTCAGAATTTGTGGTTTCGTTTCTTTTATGAGGACTTGTTAAAAATTTTACATATCAGCCACTCCTTCTGCTGATTTTTATTTTGTATTTTTTAAGCTGCGCAGTGCATGTGATGGCACGTTTCTCACTTTGAGAGTGCCTATTTCAAATTATTCAGCGTTTTATCCAGATGCTCTGGCAAATGTTTGGCTCGGTCTCGAGTGGTACATCTCTTTAAGATCGATGACCCGGCCGCGTCTAAAACTCCACTCCTCCGCTCTTGACATTGCACATTACACTAAGTCAGGCATCAACTGCCGAGGATCTCTAAAAGCTTTTGGCAGACGCAAAAGAATGTGGCAGGAAGCGTGTGTGTGAAAGAGATGTATGTCTTTTTTTTTAAACACACACACACACACACACACACACACACACACACACACACACACACACACACACACACACACACACACATCTACATATTTTGAGACAGCTTGACTCAGTTCTGAGTGTGCGAAACTGGGAGAAAAAGCATAGACGTTAATTTAATCAGCACACGCCTGTAAATCATAAGCTCAAACTCTGTTTTATGTCACTGATTTAAAGCGCCGGTGTGTAAACTATGTCGTGCACTGGCAATTACCTACTTCCCACTCGTTATTAGGCACATGTGTTTGCCGAGGCTCGGCGTGCCTCAGTGCTGCCACGGGGCAAACTGTTTTGGAGAATATTGTGTGATAATTGTTTAAATGATGTAGAGCCAGCAGGTAATTTGCTTCCAAATGATAATAAAAAGGTTCAAGATATCAAATGACTCTTTGAGTGCAACTTTTTTGGTTGTTTTTTTCCCCCTAATAAGACCCACAATTGCAGTATTCACATAATAGGAGATTCAGAAGAACTTTCCTTATGTTGCTTGGCTGGAATGCCCTGATAATATGCTGTCAGTAGTTGGGTTGTCAAAGTAATTTTTTTAAAAAGGAGAGCTAGATTTGAGTTTCCTTTCTTTTGTATATCTGCTCTGCCAAGTGAGGCAAAAGCCTTTTTTTGTGAACGACGAGAAGTGTAAATTTCCTGCATTTGCGCAATACTGGCAGAAACCAAAAAAAAGAGAGAAAGAAAAATGCTCCCATTTCCACAAATCGGACTCAGTGGAGCGGGGTGGTGTTTTAGTGGCAAGGTTTTCCTTGGAGAGGCAGCGTTTAATCAGAGGCTAAAAGCGCTGCACTCAGATCCTCTTTGGAGACGTTTGATAAAGTTTCTGCCACTACAAACTGTAGCCAAGCGTGAAAACCTTTTTCCTGCAATTTACTGTCTGCACAGGAGGTCAGCCTGTTAGAAAGGAAAAAACCTCTACAGGGTTCAGGGAACTGCGGTCTGGATTAAGAAAAAAGGAGAAACAACATCGGTTCAGGCTTTGGTGCTGCAGTTGAGGAGCCAGTGTGTAGATGGCACTTGAATGATTTTAGCAGAGTGAGAGTCTAGACTGAGCGGGGAAATAAGCTGCATTAGGGTGGCGTTCTCCAGAGCAGAGCATTAATTGGCCATATTTTCCCGCTCCCGCCGACTGACCTGTACCGTATACGTCCAACCGCAAATGAACTTGCTTTCTATACCTTCCATTTGATACTTTCTGTGTTGATGTCTTTTGGCTGCTGCCTGGAAGACAAATTACTCCTGCCACATTAAAAAAAGAAAAGAAAAAAAAGCTCTGTGCTGTATTTTATACACACAACACAATGAGTCCTTTGCTGCAGTTGTAAGGTAGGCTTTAAGAGAGAGACCGTGCTGATGACAAAGTGACACTTTAATGAGTCTAATGGAATAAGCCACACATACTGCATATCAATTTTCCATACGGACTTGGCACGGTTTCGCGTTGTGGACCGTGGGGAAAGGGTGCTGCTTTAAAGAGCTCTAAATGTCACTGAAGCCCCACTCCTTGTTCGAGTTTTATCAAATTACTGCTTTGCAAGTGTCCTTCACAGCTCATGCTTAATATGTGGAGATCATGCTACATTTCATTTAATAAGGGGTTCGGATGAAACATGGCTTTTTAAACTCTCCTGTATGTGCCAGAGTAAATCTTT